TATATATATATATATATATATATATATATATATATATATATATATATATATATATATATATATATATATATGTTTGATATTATTCAATATTTAGATGTGTCCGCTTTTATTCTAAATGTTGAGAGGTGGGTGTAAGGACTAAGCTCCTCTGTTGCAGTTGCCCCATTGTTGCATATCTTTATTGAGCAGGTGTTGTATGTTTTAATTTCACGTATATTGTGACATGCCTCTTTTATACCGTGTTTTAATTATACTCTGATGAAAATTTTAATACGTGCCTAAATGGTTTATTTGATTATTTGGGGGTATAGAAAGGGGGTGTTACATATATCACTATGGTGTGATTGAGGAGGAGTGAGTGGGAATACTCAGGTCTAGAGTGTCTCTAGGTTGAAGTGTCATTGGGTAGGTCTTAAGTGAGGAGTACAAACTAGGATTGTTTTCCTCTGAATTAATTCTACTGATAGTGAATTTCCTCCCTGGCTTGGTAGCCCCCAGATGTAGGTGTTGTTGACATTGAACTGGGTGAACAATTGCTATGTTATTTACTGCTTTTACTTACAGTTTAATTAGTTAGTACACTAGTCAATGTCACAGTGGATGTTATAACTTTGGTAATAACATCCATCATGTGCTTGCCAGAATTTCAGTACTCAGGCGCTTGTAGGTCGTTCCTTTCTTCGACAGGCTCATTCTGTTGGACAGGCGTGTCGGGACGATTGGAAGGGGTCTCTCTTCTGGTGGCCCTGGGCCCTCTAAGAAGTCTCCTATTCATGTCAATTGAGTTGCTAGTTGTTGGTAACTATGAGTTGAATCTTGTATTAATGGTCTCAGAATAGTGCCCATGTGTTGGGTCAACATATGTACCATCTCGTGATTGCTTTCGTCCATCTGCTGTCGCATAACCACGACGGAACTAATGGTGAAAGCCAATATTGCGATGGGAAGTGAAGAAAAACCTGGTGGCCTTCCCCCTTGTTGGGTCATAGGCCCTAGGTTTCGATATGGCGAGAATGCTGACAAGGAATTCTCTCTTGTTCCTAACCCACCATAGCGTAACATTGACATAAACTCTGTCGGCATCCCTAAGTGTTGGGGTGCCGGCATAGTGAAACTGGGCAAGTATTGCCCTTCGACTCCTGTCATCACAGATCTTGCCTCAGGTCGACTCGGAGTCACGAATGGTTCGTTATGAGCTGTTGAAGTTATTATTGTCATGGATCCGGTGCTTACAGCCGTCACCGATGATAAGACCGGATCTTCCTGCGAAGGCGGTTCTTCATTTTGTCGTGGTGTTACCCTCTTTCCACTACGTAAATGTATACACCCAAACCTTAGGGTCCCACCAGGTGTGCCAATTTGTTCGCAAGTGTTTTTCGCGCAGACAACCTCTGACCTCCCGACGCGGGTTTGCTTGCGGGACTGGCCAAACTAGTCCCAGGACTCTGGTTCTGGGTGGGTTGGTTATTTAGGATTTATGGCGCACTCGACAATTGTTTGTTTTTGAGAATGTGTATGATGAAATCTACACAAGTAAAGACAACAATGCTTTTAACAAAACAAATAAGTACTGAAAAAACGACATAAAAGTAAAGACATTATTTTACAACATAAAGACTTGGTAGATTCAATGTAAAAAAGGAAAGTACAACTGGGCGTATTCGTATATTTTGTAATGAAAAGGGAACTCTTTTCTGTTTAGTTTGTGGTACTCATAGTGTTTTTCCTGAAATGTTGATAAAAGATGCCACTACCTTCAAACCAGGCTTTGCTTTATATAGGTAAATAAAATAACCGTCAGGTCGCTTCAGGAGCCGTCATGTGTAAGACCACTACTTTTGTAACTTCCCCCACATTCCTTTTGTTAAATTTATTTCCCGTCAAGCAACAAGGCTCCTTTGTCGGGCGTGACTTTGTTGTTTTTTGGTCGACAACTTATGTCCCTGTCGACCATGAAATTTCCCTTGGGACGTCGACTTAGGTTGTGTCCCTTCTAGATTTGTCGATTTCGACACTTTGCTGCCAGTATTTTCCAAATGCTTCCTTCCACCAAAGAATACTGTCAATTAGGGTTTTTTCTCCCTACCTCCTATCGAGGTCGACCTTTTCGCTGTCAATGCTTTCAGTTGGCTCTTTTTTAGCCAACAGTCGGATGGCTTGAATAATAGATCATTCAACATCACTTGAAAATTTGCAATCGTATAAGTGTTATCCACAGTTAAGATTGAATCAAATACTTGTTTATACATTGTTGGGACTTTCACATGAATATATGTCCCCTAAAAGGTTAAGAAACCATTGTTGAAGTAGATTTCAGTAAATCATAAAACATACGAACAATATGATAAAGAAATATGAATTAGAAGCTTTTAACAATACATGTGATTAGCAAATCATATAAACAATATGAAACATACAAACTATATGTTTAGAAAATCAATATACTTTAAAATTAGATGATAATTTTAATTTCAGCATTTAATATTACAACATTTAATATTAGATGATAATTCTACCGAAGAAATGAAAATAATAAAAAAGCTTAAATGTAGTTTTAGTCCCCCAACTTAGTTTTTCTAAACTTTTGAGCCCCTTTGAAAAAACTCAGCTTTTAAGTCCCTCTCTTTGAATTATCTTGGGATTTTCTTGGCCCCCTCTTCATTTTGGGCTATGTGGCATGGTCAGTGCTGATGTGGCATGGTAGATATTGACCCAGGCTAGAAATAACATTGTCATGTAATTAAAAACTTAATATATTTAACTTTTATAAACATTTAAAATAAAATAAAAACATTTTTAAGTAACTTAAACTGAAGAGATTCAATCTTCCCCATTCATAAAAGAAGAAAACATGTATCTTCCCCCATTTGAATTCTGCGAACCCTCCAAATCGTCTTCAAGAATTCCTCAATCGCTTAACTCAAAGCCTTAGCACGTTGTCTGGGAGGAGAAAAGCAATGGACAAAATTCCTTCAGCGACAGCGAAAAGCAATGAAGAGGAGAAGTTTTGTCTTAAGTATGCAATATTTTGTCCCTCGTTATAGAAACATGTCATTTTCATTTTAGGTTTTGTGTTTTTTTGCACGTGGTGGTCCCAGTCATTTTAGGGTTTGTGTTTCTTTATCGTTTAGGGCTCGTGGTCCCATTTGGGTTATGTTGATTTGTGTGTTTTCCTTTGTCTGACTTGTATTTAACAAAGTATTTCAGGCCATTACAAACTCAAAAAATTAGGTTTAGAGTTCATCATAGAGGTTAACACTTACTAGTAGGTTAACACTTACAAATTAGACAAAAATTAGGACCACAAGCCCTAAACGATAAAGAAACACAAACCCTAAAATGACTGGGACCACCACGTGCAAAAATAATGAGGTGGAAGTAGACAATAATGTTGAAGTAGTTGATGATGCTAAAGTAGGTGAAGTGGACAATGATGTTGAACTGGATGATGGTGATGGTATTGAAGTGGATATTGATGCTGATGTGGGTGATGATAATGGTGTTGAAGTGGATATTAATGCTGAAGTGGGTGATGGTGATGGTGTTGAAGTGGATATTGATGCTGAATTGGGTGATGATGCTGATATAGATATGGATGCTGAAGTAGGTGATGGTGTTGATGTGGATAATGATGTTGAACTGAGTGATGTGTTGATTTGCATAATGATGCTGAAGTAGGTGATGATGTTGATGTGCATAATAATGCTGAAGTAGGTGATGGTCATGATAACAATGAACTTGAGTTGGATAGTGAAGAAGAGTTGGAGAGTGAACCTGAGTTGGATTGGGCAACTGTAATTCCAACTGAAACAATTAAACCACATGTCAATGACAATGAATTTCATCATGATAATGGTGAAGATTCTGACCAGCTACAGACACCACCTGATAGTGAAGATGATGAAGAGTATGAGAGGTTTCCTACCTATAAGGTTGGTGAGGGAACAAGATTTCAGTTAGGCATGAAATTTAACAAGGATTTGGTAAGGGAAGCCATAAAGGAGTATGCTATGATGGAAAAAAGAATGTTTATCTAAAGAAGAATGATGCAAAGAGGATGGTTGTTAGGTGTATTGATGAATGCAAGTTTTACATGAGAATTAGTAAAAAGGTTGGTAACCAATATTGACAAGTGGTGAGTTTATATGATGAGCATAATTGTCATAGAACAACACAAAATAGACAAGCAAAAACTGGATGGTTGGGCAAGCAGTTTAGCCATATACTAAGGCATACTCTTGATTTGAAACTAGGTGGTCTAGTTGCTTTGGCATTTGATAAGTGGGGTGTCAAACTATCCTCTGACCAGGCTTATAGAGCTAAGAGAAGAGCAATGGATATATTCAAGGTGAAGCAAGGGACCAGTTTACACATCTAAGAACTTATGCAAATGAGCTACTTAAGTCCAACCCTCATAGTAACATTATGTTGAAATGCTCAGATTTTAGTAATGGCCCAGTTTTTGAGAGAATATACATTTGTCTATAGGCACGCAAGGCTGGTTTTGCTTGTCATTACAGACCATTTATTGGACTAGATGATTTTTTAAAAAGGATATTATGATGGGCAATTGATGGCAGCTGTAGGTAGAGATGGAAATAACCAGATATTTCCAATTGCATATGCTGTTGTAGAAGCAGAAAATAAGGACTCTTGGGAGTGGTTTTTAAATCTCTTACTTGAAGACTTGCAAAGCATAAATCAAATGGAGTATACCTTGATTTCTGATCAACAAAAGGTATATCACTATTATTTTATATTATTTTCCTACTATTGTTTTTAAATCACTTATGTAAGTTATATACAATGGTTAACTGCATTGACTTGTAATTGACTGGGTCTTGTCCCAGCTGTCCAAGGCTTGAGTGAGCATGTGGAACAAAAACTATGTGTGAAGCATTTGTATGGCAATTGAAAAAAAAATGTACCCTGGTATGGAATTAAAAGAGGCTTTATGGAGTGCTGCAAGAGCTACAACTATTCAAGGATGGGAGAGGGCAATGTTGAGAATGAAGGCTTTGGATGAATCAGCTTGGAAGGATATGAAAGAGGTGCTAGCACAATATTGGAGCAGGTCACACTTTAGGACATATTCAAAGTGTGACCTTTAGATAAATAATATGTGTGAAGCCTTTAATAGGGTCATCCCATAATATAGGGACAAACCTATTATCACCCTTTTAGAAGGGATAAAGCATTACTTGACTAAGAGAATCACTAACCAGAAGGAACTCATGATAAAGTATATTGGTAATGTGTGTCCAAGAGTTCAGTTAGCTTTAGAGAAGAGTAAGAAGTTTGCTGAGAGTTGGTCTCCAACTTGGCATGGTGATGATAACATGGCTATTTTTGGTGTAATAAATGATATAAAAACGTATTGTGTCAACATCAAAGAAGGTACATGTGCTTGTAGGAAATGGGACTTAACTGGGAATCCCTGTAGCCATGCTATAACATGTATATGGCATAATAAGAAACATCCTGAAGAATTTGTTTCTGAGTATCATAGGTAGGGCATTATATGTATACTGATTTTTTTCATCTGTCATGAAATGTATATTTCTTAGTCTTTTTGATTTGTGCAGGAAGACAACTTTCCAGAACACATACTCTCACATCATATATCCTACAAATGGCCCACAACTATGTCCTGTAGATGTTACATTGATTGTTAGTACACCAATGATGAGAGGGGAAATTGGATGTCCGAAAAAGCTGAGGAACAAGAGGAATGATGAACCAAAGAATCCACATGTTCTGCCAAGAAAGATAACAACTGTCACTTGTACAAAATATGGATCCATGAGGCATAATAAAAGAACATGTAAAGGGAAGAGAGCAATAGATATGGTTATGACAAAGGGAGGGAATAAGAAACAAAAGATCACAAAGGGAAAGAGTAAGGGCAATGGCAAGAAGACACATAATGCATCACAACCCACACAAGAAGTTGGTTCATGCTCACAGGGACCATCAGCTACTCAAGATTAGAACTTATGTATTTTATGCAATGGTTCAGACATGTGTATTTTGGGTTATGTAATGGTTAAGACATATGTATTTCGGGATATGTAATGGTTAAGACATATGCCTTTTGAGTTATGTAATGGTTAAGACATAAGAATTATGTATTATAAGTTGAACAAGTTGTACTGATATTTTGAACAAGTTATAATGAATTTGGTATGTTACTTAATGAGTTTAGAATATACTGATAACATTGTTACATGTTTGATATCACATTATAAGCCATTACAGACATAATAATTATAAGTATGATAAGCCATTACAGGTCTGATAACAAACATAAGAAATATGTATTATGAGTTGAACAAGTTGTTTGGTTGGTGAGTTGATCAAGTTGTTTGGGATGAAACATTGTTAGGTATGTTATAACATTACAGGTCTGTTATAACATTGGCTTATAAAATGGCTTAACATTGGCCTGATATATTAAGTCTGTTATTTTGAACAATGTCTGTTATAAAACCAACTTTATAAACCAACTTTGTATAATGTCTGTTATTTTGAACAACTTTATATGTTTGTTAACATTGGTTTATAAACCAACTTTATATGTCAGTTATTTTGAACAACTTTACAAGTCTAATATCACATTATAAGTCAGCTTTAACAATGTCATAACAGTGTAAAGTAAATTCAACTTAACATTACTTCCTTGTCATAACAGTACATAACAATGTCAAACCTAACACATTACAACCAAACACTTAACAAACCTATCACATTACAACCAAACACAAACAATATAAACTAATTTATTACATTTGATACAACCAACTCAATTAACAACACTAATGTCATTCCCATGGTAAACTTGTTCATCATCTTCAAATACTTGATCTTCAACTTCGGTTGATCTTCTCTGACAATGACTTCATTCAACTTAACCTTTTCTTGGTTTAATTTTTGATGCATTGAAGATATCACTTCCTTGGCTCGTTGAGACATTTCTTCATCATACCATGCAAAGTGACTACATCTCTCGTATCCCCGATTTTAGACATATACATGGAGAAATTAGGGACTTTCAAGAGAATACAATAAATTCGAGATTAAAAAAAACATGAAACTAACCTTGTACATCCCACATCCAAAAAACAACGACTTGGGTTTTGATCAGTCCATGACATCATCAATGGAGAAGGAATACCATACTTACATTCGACGTGATTGGAGCGGGACACACAACGATTGCTTGATGCTGAATATTCAGACATGGATGCTAAGTGTTTGGGTGAAGCTGGAAACGAATTCTAGAGAAGCAATTGGGGAAGAACACAAATGAATTCTGGAGAATGATTTTTAGGGTTCACAGATTTTAAATGGGGAAGAAGAATATGTGTTTTATAAACTTTTTTAATCAATTTGTTTAATTAAAAATGTTTTTTATTTTAAATGTTTATAAAAATTAAATATATTAAGTTTTTAATGACATGACAATGTTATTTCCAGCCTAGGTCAACATCTACCATGCCACATCAATGCTAACCATATCACATAGCCCAAATTGAAGAGGGGACTAAGAAGATCCCAAGATAATTCAAAGAGAGGGACTTAAAAGCTGAGTTTTTTAAAAGGGGGATTAAAAGTTTAGAAAAACGTAAGTTGGGGGACTAAAACTGCATTTAATCCTAATAAAAATTAGGTGTTATCTTATGCTTTTACTTGATTCATTTTTATTTTTCGAAGGTACTAATTCTAGTATGCACGTTATGTATTTACCCTTATTAAGACACCTAGATAAAACACAAGAATATAGTTGGGGTTCCGCTTGTTTGTCTTATTTCTATAGCTCTTTGTGTAAAAATGCAACGAAAAACACATCTACATTTTATGGGTGCCTCGTTTTTCTCAAAGCACGGGGTTGGTCTAGATTGCCATCCCTAACGTTCGTCAACCACAACAGTTTCTCATTCCCATATGCACAAAAGTAAGTTAATAACTTCATATTAGTTCATTCACTTTACCGATTATTGTCTTTAACTAATTTATTTGAACTTTTTTTTTGTTTAGATGGTCGGCTCACGGTATGACTTACAATAGATGTCCTAGACATTGTATCATTCACTACCACAATCTCTTGGATCACCTTAGACACGGAGATGTAATGCCACTAAATGAATCAATTGTTTTTAATATCACTCAAATTTTATGATTTAATCTTTTTCTCTTCTACAGTTCATTTGACGTCCATATCTAAACATGGAACACCAACATGAAGTCAGAGAGGAAGAGGCAGTTGTTTGAACTGCATGTGTGTCGATCATCATATTCACCATTGTGGAGATGCAACACAATGATCATGTCAAACAAATGTTTAGAATGCATCAAAACATCCCAGATCCTCCGACTGATCTCGGTAAATGGCATATACAAAAAATGGCAAAATAACATTTTTCGTCTCTTAACTTTAGCTCAGGGTCCATTTTGGTCCCTTAACTTTAAAAAGTGTCAAGTTGGTCCTCTAACTTTTAAAATGGTGTCACGTTTATCCTTCTGTTTGTTGTCGTTAGTCAAAGTTTAAAAAAAATGCCACGTTTGTCCAGGTGGACTTGATGTTGCTGACGTGGATATAAAATGCCTTAAATAAAATCCCCTTTGACCTTGGTCTCCATTACCCAGAAGATAAGACGTTTGTCCAGGTAAACTCAATGAATCATTAAAGATGATTCAAGGATTGAAGATGCGAAGGATTGAGGGCAGAGGATTGAAGATGATTCAAGGAGACATTATCAAAAGGTTAGTTCATTTTTCTCTGATTTAGGGTTTACGAATCTCATAGGGCAATATCTGCTAGAGGTTCAGATTTAGAGTTTATGTAAAAAAAATTAGTATAAACTCTAATTATTTAGATGATATGATTGGGTATCATAGATGAATACATAATCTCAAAATTCATCATAGTGGTGAGTTCACCGATGAAGGTCGTAGTGTATATGATAATGGAGTAGTAGATGATTTGAGAGTAGATGTAGACAAATGGAGTTACTTTGAGCTAGTTGATGTATTGAAAGACTTGGGTTATAGGTAGTTTGAAACAATATATTACAAGGACCCTAAATTTGGGATGAATGCACTTGTTGATGACAATGGTGGTTTAGAAATTGCAGATCTTTATAGGGTGCACCAAAATGTTGATATTTATATTGAAGACACCTAGTCTCAACCTGACTACTGTGATGTTGTTGATGAAGTTGATGAGGACCCTGTTGAAATTGTAGATTAGGTGGAGGAGTTACTTAGTCAACTACATGATGAAGTTGTGGAAGTTGAATAAATCACTATTGTGATGGAGGAAGGTGATGTTAGAGTTGATCAAGCCACTGCTGAGGTAATGTTGAAGTTGATCAAGGGAATTTTGCAGTGGATGAACATACTGTTGGAGTTGAGGAAATTAATGTTGGAGTTCAACAAAGGAATCCTGCAGGGGAAGAAGGTAATGTTGGAGTTTAAAAAGGTAAACCTACAGTGGATGATGACTTAAGTTTATCTTCTGATGGTAGTGAATATGAGGACTACAATTATGATAATGCACTAGATATGGCTTTTGAGGATGAGTCTGATGGGTGTGATGAGATTGAGGATGATGAACTTGATACCCTAATTGGTCATGAAAATAATGGTAATGAAGAAGTCTAAGAACTTAATGATAAGTCTTTAGAAGATAAAGGGAGTGATAGTGATAGTGAGGACATGCAAAGTGGCTGCAATAATGATGATAGTAGTGGAGTTCTAAGAAAAAAGTATCCAATTTTTAGACATCCAAAAGACATGTCAGATTACAAATGGGATGTGGGAATGTATTTTAGTTCAAAGGGTGATTGGGAAGCAATAACATCTTATCATGTGCAAAATGGTAGAGACCTAAGGTTTGTAAAATATGACAGAGTTAGGGTAGAGTTAGATGTAAAGTTGGTTGTGAGTGGGAGGCTTATTGCAGAAAGTTGTCAAATGAAGACACTTGGCAACTCTGGAAAGTAATTGACAAACACAGTTGTAGTAGATAGTATAATGTGATGCTAACGAGTACAAAGTGATTGAGTAAAAGAATTCAGAATAGCTTGAAAAACAATCCAAGGTTGAGTATAAAGATATCAAGGAGAAGACACAAAAAAGTGGAATGTTGGGGTCAACAAAACGAAAGCTATAAGAGCAAGATTTGCAACTAGAGATTATGTTGATGGTTCTTTTTTTGGGAGATTACACAAGGGTCTATGAATACTGTCATGAACTGTTAAGAGCCAATCCAGGGTCAACAGTTAAGCTCAATGTTGAGCCTGTACAAGAAGGTGTTGAGGATGAAAGACCATAATTTAGAAGGCTTTACATATGATATGTTGTGTGTAAGGAAAGCTTTAAGTTGTGTAGACATGTAATAGGTCGAGATGGGTGTTTTCTGAAGGGGTTGTGTGGAGGGAAGATTCTGACTTCCATTGGGAGGGGTCCTAATGACCAGATGCTTCCCATAACATATGCAGTTGTAGAAAGTGAAAGCAAGGATAGTTGGACTTGGTTTTTAGAGCTGTTAATTGATGACCTTGGAGACAAAGATGAATGTCTGACTTACACCTTCATCTCAGACCAACAAAAGGCAAGTTTTTCATTTATTCTTATGGTTTTATATTTTTCTGTTATGCTATTCTTGTTATACTATACTGTATGTTATGTTATTGCAGGGTCTGCTGCCTACTATGGATGAGCTTTTGCCAAGGGTGGAGCACAGGTTTTATGTTAGGCACCTCTATAAGGTTTCTTGGAAAGATGTTGGAGGAGATAATATGGAAGGCTGTCAAGTCAACATACCCACGGGCATGGGAAAGAGAGATGAAGGGAATGAGGGTCATCAATGAAGAAGCATTTAAACATATGATGAAGAGCCCACCAAGGTTTTGGAGTAGATCTTACTTTAGGACTGAAAACAAATGTGATGATGTTCTCAACAACATGTTTGAATCCTTTAATAGTGTCATTCTTGATGCAAGTGCAAAACCTCTAATCACTATGTTGGAAGACATCAGAATATACATGATGGAGAGATGGGCAAATAACATAATAAGATTTGGTACTTTGGATGAGAATGATATATTTCCCAATATTAGAAAGAAACTTGGTGTCACAAGCACATACACCAACAACTGGCTAGTAAGGTATGTAATATCAACATACATTAATTCTTTAGGATGTCTATAACATACATGTGACTAATATATTCTGTGTGTTTAATTATTTAGGAAGTCTGATGAATATATATTTGAAGTAAGGCACTTGGAAAATCAAGCTGATAAATTTGTTGTGAACCCGAAAGATTATATATGTTCATGCAGAAGATGAGAACTCACGGGACTCCCAGGTGTTCATGCTTTGTTTGTTATGAAGATTAGAAATTTCAAAATTAAAACTTACATTCCAGATTATTACAGGGTTTCAAGGTACAAGGCAATTTATAAGCATGTGATCTACCCTATTAATGGATCAAACTTGTGGGTTAAGACACCATATCCAGATGTGCAACCACCCAAGTTCAGAAAGAAGCCTGGTAGACCTAAAAAGAGGAGGAACCTAGAACAAGGTGAAATTGGTGGGTCTGATCGCAAATTGAGAAGAACAGGTTTTATGGTGAAGTGTAGTAGGTGTAAGAAAGCAGGACACTACAAGTCTACATGTAAGGACACAACAACTTAGACTAATCAACAATCAGCCCAACCCTCTCATACTCCAACTCAGACTGCTCAATAATCATCCCAACGCACTCCTACTCCAACAACTCAGCCTACTCAACAACAAAGCCGACCCTCTCAGAACACAACAACACGCACTGTTAAGGGAACTTCTACTCAACAATCTAGCCAAGCATCTAAGACTTCTAAGGGAAAGGTTGCTTAGAAGACACATGGACCTGCTAAGGGCAAGACACAAAAGCTACATGTTAGGAAGCCAACAAGACCTTTTGTGCCACCTGGGCCTACAACTAGGTTGAGTGCTGCCAAGAATGTTGTTGGCCCAGTAACAAGGAGGTCCACTCCAACAAAGAGGACCACGCCAAAGAAGAATTAGGCTATCATGTCATGTGGAATCACATTATGTATTTTGCTGTATAATTAGTTTATGTTTTTTGCTGTTGTTTGGAACATGTGTATTATAAGTTTATGTATCCTGCTGTTGTTTGAAATATGTGTGAAATGATTTTATGTATTTTGTGGAACATGTGTATCAGTTTGTGGACCTATTATGAAATGTATTAGTTGTGTTAAAAGCAAAACCTATTTATGGACCTGTTATGAACTTTATGTTAAAAGCAGAACTAACTTATAGGTCATAATGTTTATGGACTTGTCATAATGTGGTGTAAAAAATGCAGACCAACTTTGACAGGTCTATAACAGACCAAGTAAACATAAAAATAGAACATACCAAATAATCTTTAACAACACAAACCAAGTTAAAAACACTTTGACAGGTCTATAACAGACCAAGTTAACATAAAAACATAACATATAAACCATTGTGTGTTAAAATCAAGCTAATCTTTAACTATTACATTCGTGTGGAACTGATACAATCCAAAACTAAAACTGATACATTCATGTTGAACTGCAAAAAGTAAAATTAAAATCCACTGCAGGATTAGAATCTAACTATTACATTCATGTTGAACTGATTCAATCCAAAATTGATACAAACTTTAACTGAACTTAAACCTAATTCTTACAACCAAAAGATAACTTAATTTTTACAAATAAACCATAACATACTACTTTCAAACAAACCTTAATACCCTAACTAATTCTAACAACTAATACATTGATAACCATCACAAACATCAATTTCAAAATCTTTTTCCACTTCATGATATTCTTCATTTCACTTTCAAGTTTTATCAACTTTTTCTCTAATTCTTCATTCTCCATTGTCACTTTTTCAATGTCCTTTTTTGCTTCAGCAAGTCCCTTAGTTACCACACCCAGCCTATGCATCCAGAATTACTCCTTCTCATCACCCACCTCCTCATAAAACCAACCAAAGAAACCACACCCAACTTGCACACCTCCCTGTAATTCTCATTGTTTAGAGGACGATGGAGAATGAATTTAAACTTAAACAGAAACATAATTTATTAACATAATTCAAAAAGTTTGCATACCTTATAATTTGGACAACCCCATAAAAGTTTTCCCATATTCTTAACAGTAGTTGTCATTTGAAGAACATATTCATGTCTCCACAATGACATATGGCCTTCCATCATGACCTACTACAAACATCCGAATCTCAACTTTCCTGTTTCAATATGGAGGACGAACAACCATATTTCATGTTTGCTAAAAACAAAAACCCTAGATTAATTTTGGGATTTGGGATTGGGAAGGAGGAAGGAACAAAAAAAAATTAAGTTGTAGTATGGGAATAGGAGGAGGAAGGAGAAGGAATCAACATGAAGAAGATAACTTGCCAAGTCATCTGCCATATACACAAAATGAACAGACGTTTGAGGACAACTAACGGTGAGAACTCGATTGACACCATTTTAAAAGTTAGAGGACCAACTTGCCACTTTTTAAAGTTAAGAGACCAAACTGGACCCCGAGTTAAAGTTAAGGGACGAAAAGGGATATTTTGCCTACAAAAAATTAATGAACAATGGAACTATCCCGATTGAAAAGATTTTGCTAAATCTGAGTGTTGTAAATGGAGGAACCGTCACACCCATGTCTTATGTGACCCGGTGATGGCAACTTCGTCTATACCAACTAATATTTATATGACTCAGTAGAGATCGATTGCAATTGGGTTTGTCTCTGAAGAGAGGTATCTATAAAATCCACGACAAACCACTTACACACAAGAAGTTTCAATGTCTAACCCACAAGGAAATTATCAGATTTGTTACTCACAACCCTCTACCCAACAAAATTACTGACCCACATACACACAAGCCCACAATCGAAACATGCCAAACACCCAACCACAATACCAAGAGCGCCCCATACCATTTCCTACGAAATGACTATTATCAAGACACTCAAAATGCACATGCCTCCAACACAACATCAAAATATAGGCAAAATGGCTAAAAATCGCACCATAGCCAAAACAACCAAACATCTTTCCATAGGCAAAATGCTCAAATATCACAGCATAGCTGACACACACAAACATCACAACAACCTTATCACTTTCAAACACCACTACCATTTTAATCTTTCACCAACGGATCCTTCACACCAATGTTTCCCTTCAATCGTCCAGGTCGCACATCAATAACTCCTTCATCACATCCCAACTACTCTAACATGAATCACGAACTCAATTTCAACACACAAGACTTCTTAAAAGTGAAAAAAAAAAATTTAGACATTCAACACACCAATGACCCCTTCGATTTTTTTTTTCTTTTCTAAATGGCGTTTCATTAAATTGAAAAATATGTATATTGTTCATATATTATATTTAATATCAATTCTCAAAACAACAGTTACTGCCGCCGATTTCCACTCTCACCACTCTCCACGACGCCGTGGCCGTAACACTGCAACTGAACTTGAACTGACACAGTGACATGTCCTTGAAACTTCAATAACGCGATGATGCATCTCAAGAAGGTGCAAACCAACACCGTTTTATTCCTTTTCTCATCAACCAGGCTCAAAACCTTCCACCCTACACCCATTACAAAATTCTCCTCCCAACTCCATAAAGATTCGATTTTGATCCCACCCACCAAGACCCATCTCTATGTTTCATTCTTCTGCACCCTCGTTCGTCTCTACTTGAAATGTGGCAGGTTCTGTACCGCCTCTGACGCTTTCTTTCGCATGCGTAACCTTGGTCTTGTTCCGTCTTTGCCATTCTGGAATAAGCTTTTCTATGAATTCAATGCCTCTGGTTATGTTTCTCAGGTAAAGGTTGTTTATTCCGATATGTTGCTTTGTGGGGTTGTGCCTGATGTTTTTAGTGTCAATGTTTTGGTTCATTCGTTGTGTAAAGTTGGTGACTTGGATTTAGCTTTAGGATATCTTAGGAATGATGGTATTGATATTGATAATGTTACTTATAATACTGTTGTTTGGGGATTCTGTGAGAAAGGGTTGGTTGATCAGGGTTTTGGTTTGTTGTCTGAGATGGTTAAAAGGGGTTTATGTGTTGATTCGTTCACTTGTAATATACTAGTTAAGGGTTATTGTAGAATTGGATTGGTTCAGTATGCTGAATGGGTCATGTACAACTTGGTTGATGGCGGGGTTTTGAAAGATGTTATTGGTTTGAACAGTTTGATTGATGGGTATTGTGAAGGTGGGTTGATAAGTCAAGCAATGGATTTGATGGAGAACAGTTGGTGGAGTGATGTTAAGATTGATATTGTTACTTACAATACTTTGCTCAAAGGTTTTTGTAAAACGGGGGATCTTGCTAAGGCGGGGTCTCTTTTCAACGAGATTTTGAGATTTCGGACAGACGGAGATCAGTTGAGAAATAACGATGTTGTAACTCGAAACGAGATAGGAAAGTTGCGGCCGACACTTGTCACTTACACAACACTAATTTCTGCATACTGTAAGTATCATGGAGTTGAAGAATCACTTTCTCTGTATGAGCAAATGATTATGAGTGGAATCATGCCGGATGTGGTTACTTGTAGTTCTATTCTTTATGGACTATGCAGGCATGGTAAATTAACCGAGGCGGATGTTTTGTTTAAAGAGATGTATGAAATGGGTTTAGATCCTAATCATGTGTCATACTCTACGATTATTAATTCATTGTTCAAATCAGAGAGGGTTATGGAAGCTTTTAATCTTCAAAGCCAAATGGTTGTTCGGGGCATTTCTTTTGATATAATTATGTGCACAACTATAATGGATGGACTTTTCAAAGTTGGGAAATCGAAAGAAGCCGAGGAAATGTTTGATACTATTCTAAAGCTGAATCTTGTTCCAAATTGTGTCACTTATTCGTCATTGGTTGACGGGTATTGCAAGTTAGGAGAAATGCAACTTGCAGAGTTGGTGTTACAAAAAATGGAGAAGGAACGCGTTCCTCCAAATGTTGTTACCTTTTCTTCGATTATAAACGGATATGCTAAACAAGGAATGCTTAGTAAAGCAGTTGATGTATTCAGGGAGATGGTCCAAAGGAATATTATGCCAAATACTATCGTTTATGCAATTTTAATCAATGCCTATTTTAGGGCAGGTGAGCAAGACGTTGCTGCTGGTTTCTATAAGGAAATGGAATCGCATGGATTGGAGAAAAGCAATGTCATATTTGATATCTTATTGAACAACTTGAAAAGAGGTGGGAGAATGAACGAAGCTCAGTCGTTAATTAAAGATATGCACTCTAGGGGTATTGACCTGGATATCGTTAACTATGCTTCCCTAATAGATGGCTACTTTAAAGAAGGAAATGAGTCAGCCGCACTTTCCATTGTCCAGGAAATGACAGAGAAAAACACTCGGTTTGATGTTGTTGCTTACAATGCTTTGATTAAGGGGCTTTTGAGGCTGGGGAAATATGAACCTCAATATGTTTGTTCAAGAATGATAGAATTGGGCTTGGCTCCAGATTGCGTTACATATAACACTATAATTAATACATACTGCATAAAAGGTAACATAGGAGAGGCTTTGGATCTCTTGAATGAGATGAAGAGCTATGGGATAATGCCAAATGAAGTCACTTATAACATTCTGATTGGTGGGCTTTGTAAAACCGCTGAAATTGAAAAGGCAATAGATGTTTTAAATGAAATGTTGGTTATGGGGTATGTACCTACCTCAATTACTCACAGGTTTCTTCTTAAAGCGTCTTCAAGGAGTAAAAAAGCAGATGTGATTTTGCAAATTCACAAGAAGCTTGTCGCCATGGGCCTCGAACTCAACCAAACTGTGTATAACACACTAATCATTGTGTTATGCAGGTTAGGTATGACTAAAAAGGCAAAAGCGGTCATTGATGAAATGGTAAAAAATGGAATTTCAGCTGATTATGTTACTTACAATGCCCTTATTCATGGTTATTGCACAAGCAGTCATGTGGAGAAGGCATTTGATACTTATTCACAGATGTTGGTTGATGGAATCTCTCCGAATATTACTACTTACAATACCCTTTTAGGAGGTCTTTCAAATGCTGGTTTGATGAGAGAGACATATAAATTAGTTAGTGAGATGAAGGAAAGAGGATTTATCCCAAACGCCACCACTTATGATGCATTAGTTTCTGGCCATGGTAGAGTTGGAAATAAGCAAGATTCCATAAAACTTTATTGTGAAATGATAACCAAAGGTTTTGTTCCCACTACAGGAACCTATAATGTGCTTATTAGTGATTATGCTAAAGCGGGAAAGATGCGCCAAGCTAGAGAACTTTTGAATGAGATGCTGACTAGAGGAAGAATTCCTAATTCTTCAACATATGACATTCTAATCTGTGGCTGGTGTAAATTATCGTATCAGCCAGAGATTGACCGGGCACTTAAACTGTCATACCGAAATGAGGCGAAAAATTTGCTGAGAGAAATGTGTGAAAAAGGACATGTGCCATCTGACAGCACGCTCTTGTTTATCAGTTCCAATTTTTGTATACCAGGAAAAGAGGCCGATGCTAGAAGGTTGTTGAAGGTATTTTCCCAAAAGAAAAATGTGTGACAGATGATATGGAACGGTAGCTATAATCAATCCTAAACCATAAAGCCTACTAGGTCCAAGTGTGGTGAGGATCTTGTGAGAAAATTGAGATGCGGTGGACCTATAAGTTTTTGTAGCTTAACTACCGTCAAATGTGACCAGGATAGCAAAGATATAGCAATCAGTATACTCAATTTGATCTGAAACTGATTTTGATGGCAATTCTGATGAATACTACTTATTGATGAAATTTCCAGAGACTTCGTTTTTTGTGATTTGATTTGAAGAGACCCAAAAAAAAGTATAAATCGGTGGTGTTGGGTGAGGTAGATATGTAACCAAAGGGAACAACAACAAGGACTACAAATGTGAAGGAAATCCAAATTACTCACTTTTCTCAACCCAGTGAGAGGCGTCCACCACTTGCTGTGCTTTACACTATACCTCTTGTGGTGTTTGTTTCAAAATGGAGTCAAAGACACAGCATCAGAATCAGCTCTTTCACTTGCGCTCCTTATGTATAAGAGAGAACAAGGTAAAAATCTGATTTAAAAAATATATAAAATAAAGTATAAAAAGGCCACTAAAACCATATGATTTTGGACTAAATCTCAGGACTGAATTAATGTTGACAGAATTTTTCTAATAATTTGCCTTAACAGACACTTCGAAACTGAATTGGGGTGTTATGATGTTCAGTGAGACTATTTTATAAGGACTCTTTGTTTCTCGTTGATTGATCTTATATCAATTGTTGCCAAGATTGTGAAATTTGTAATTGATAGTGAAATTAGTGTCTGCTGGTTAGGGTTTTTGGTAAAACACTATTCAAATTTAATGGAGACTAGGGAGGGTTACACTCTTAAGTGTAAAAAGTTTTTTGTTTGGTGCTGACTTGAACATAATAGCAATTCTGTCCACTATGTATCATACTGAAAAGATGGTTGGGTTGTTTATGATATCATATTGTTTTGGGACTGTGTGCTTCTTTACCCAAGCTCTACTGGCTTACAATGGACCCTGTCTTTTTTGCGCTGACATACTTAAATTTATTCCTTACCTTTTTTAACTTTTACTTTATCTAGTTAAATATTAATAATTGTCACAATATAGGCCTCGCATACTGCTGTTTTGCTGCTGTTTGAGGAAGAACTACATTTGGTTGCAATGCATTCTGGAAATGATGACAGACCGTGTTTCTGGGGATTTATTGTTACCAAGGGACTTTATAATTCGTTCATTGTGATGTTAAATCTCAGATGTTTGGGTATAGTGTTCGACCTGGATAAAATGAAACACTTATTCTAGCAAACACAGCGCTCATTCGAGGATGCAATTGATTCACTCCTGAGAAAAATAAACTGAGGTAGATCCACCATGAATAGGGGTGGAAATAAGTTAGGCCAACTAACAGGGACTTACGGCCTAGTCTACATAGTCCCAAGCCAGGCTAAAAATTTTCTTAAATAGAAAAGGCCTAGGCTTTTTTATAAGCCTATTTATCTAAATAGGCTAGGCCACAGGCCGCAAGAAAAGTCTAAGCCTATCAGGCTGACGCATTTATAAAAAATTCAATATATTTATTATTATTTTATTGTATTTTGTACTTTGAATCAAAATACAACGATAAAGTTTATTTATTTTGAACAATTTAGAATAAGTTGAAAAAACATTATAAACAATGTCATAATTTTCTTTTCATAAGTTCTCTCTAACGGATAGTATCATCAAACTTATGTTAATAGGTAAACTTGAATGAGACAATGAAAACAAACATTTAGTCTCAATAATCTTTTAATTTGTTAGTCTATTTAATAATAATTGAATTTCTTATTTAAAAACGTTCAAATGAAGTAGGTTTTTAAATAGGCTAGTAAGTCAATCAGACCTTTGAAAAGGTCAGACCTAGGCCTAAAAATAAGCTTATGATAGACTACAAGCTAGGCTTAGGCTTTGAATTTTTTAGCAGAGCAGGCTCAAGCTTGGTAAAGCCTAGCTCGGCCTAGCCTATTTCCACCCTTGACCATGAATTTCTGGTACGCAGGCAGAGATCAAGCACTATCTAGATGACAAGAGTATATTGAAGCAGTAAATGATCATGTAGTTGATAATGGTAAAGTGATAGAAACTCAATCTGAGCTTGTTCCAGCATTATCCGACAGTCATCAGCCCTTAGTTCGACCACTAATGCGGTTACATGATAAAAGCATTATTTGACACGCATCAATCCGCAAGTATATAGCATTTTCTCTATCCAATCATTTATTAGTATCTACTACTGTATTCTTTTGTCACATCACATCTTGTGGCTATGCATTTTCTTATTGATTTATTAGTCTACTGGGTCCCTAGTCAAACTATAGATTCTACCTAGTATCGGGGATTCGAGAGGGGGGGAAAAGAGAGTAACTCGAGGATCTTAACATGGATCAACGATTACGCACTTATATTATTAATGAACATAAAACTTCCTAGGTGTACGAATAATAAACTCTACTAAACCCTCTAAAGTCTCCTCTAAGATCCTAGCATCATAAGAAACGATTAAGCAAATAACATTATCAGCGTCATGCATTGCTCGCTATTGTTATTTTGTACTTCATCAGAACCATATTTTTATTAACCTCGGTTCATGTTTGCGCTTCTAACATGGTAGAACTTCGGCGTTTAGTTTCTTCAGTGCATGAGGGAGGGTCTTGGTGTCAATTTTCTACCGCTGCCAGCTCCAGTGTCAGCACATTCAGGTCAGAAAGATGAAGTACATGCACAGGTTGGTAATCAAACGCTTCAGTCGTCTGAACTAATTCATTTTAAAAAGGCAATATCATTGAATTGCAGAATGATTATGCCTTATTTCTAAACCTGTGCGTTTTAGCTCTTCATTCCTTTGAAGGGCAGAAAGAAAAGATTAGGAGACATTTTATTGAGGTATCGGAGAAAGAACACAATTCTGATATGCACCGATTTTCAGATATATATATATATCATATCCAATTATTTGATTGTCTTGTTGTATCTACTTTGGCATCTTTTGGATTGTCCACCTTCTTATATTGTTATTGGGGGTGGAAAAACGTGCCCGGCCGGTGGGCATGTCTATTTTGCCCGCATTTTATGTGGGCGGGTCAAAATTTTAGGTCTGCATTCTCTAATATATCTGCCCCGCCCCAAATTTTTGCGGGTTTTTTTTGCAGGCGTAGGCATTAACAAGAATATTTGCAACTTCTAGCCTCTAGTGTTGCAATGCCCACGCCGCCCCACCCTCATTTTTTTTCGGGCGAGTCTAGGTTTATGTCCTCACCCTCAACTATACCCGTCCCGTCCTGTTTTTTTACGGGCTTTTGCAAGGAGGGCATGCCCGCACCTTCAACTAAGGCCCTGTTTGGATAAATAAGTTATTTGCTGCTTATAGCAAAAGCGCTTATCATGATAAGTGCTATTTATATAGTAGAAAATAAAATAAAGTTAAATTGTTTTTCGTATAAATTATAAGCTATTTTCATAATTTATATTGGAGAAGTTACGAATATAAGCTAAAAACAACTTATAATCAATATTGTAAGTTATTTTCATAGGTTCTCAAACAGTCTCACAAAACTTTTACTAGTAAATAAACTCAAATTATTTAATCCAAACATGTCTTAATTCTATGGTTTTATGTTTTACATAAATGATGAAAAGGTACATTCAGCCGAAGAGAGTATGGAGAGGGAGAGAAGAGACGATTCTCATACACCGTAAGCTTAAGCACAACAAAAAAGACTTCAAATTCGATCCATTTTTCTAGTCTGAATTTATGCCACATTATTGTAGTAACTAAAATTTTCTACTTTCAATTAAAAGTGTGTTTGCTTTTGTTGATCTCTTCTTCCAAATTCCAATGCAGTGCAATGCGGAAAAACTGATCATGAAGATGCAACTAGGGAGCCTCACATATTGTATTAATTTTCCGTGGCTATCAGAATGGACATCATCAATGCAATATTGCTATACACTTGGTTGACCAATATCTGATGGATGTTATCTGTATTCTCCAACCTAAGAATTGTTTAATCCATTCAGATTTTGAGGTTGATGAATCTAAACCATCTAGTTACATTGGTGTTTCTTAAACTTGTTAAAAAAGTGAGACACAACTATAGGACCTATAATGTTTGGAGTGGAAAGTTGACTTCTATATAAACCAACAATAAATTAAGCGAATTTCTTAAGGCACCTTATGTGTTTCTTAAATACCATGCCGATTTTTTATAATGTTCTTAATTTTTGGAGATATATTTTTGGATGCATCATAATTTAACTTTTATAAGATATTTCGAAATTATATTTCTGTACGCACCAAAGCTCAATTCAACATTAAAATATTGACTCTTTTCCTCCCACACTTTTTCATTTTCATTCACAAACCTCTTCATCTCTCTCATTTCTAAATTTCTCAAACTTCATCAAATTTGATTTCTTCCATCCGAGGCTCAAGTAATCATCAAGTTGCATTCATTGCATCATTTAACATCTTCTGAATCATATAATTCGGGTAAGTTTTTCAAGTTTTCGATAAATATTCAAGTTTTGTTGTAAACGAGTTAGAATTCATTGTTAGATGTCGAAATGTTTAGAAATCAGATGAAACATAGTTTATAGTAACTGTATGTATTGTTTGTTGGCTTAAATGGACGATTAGGGCTTCAAATTTGTCATTCTGAGCGGTAGAGGACGCCATTGGCGCGACCTTTGAGTTGCAGAATGTTTCGGAGATACATCTCCGAAAACATTCAACGTCTCATGTACTTTGGGTGATTCTAGAGATACATTTGCGAAATGTTTCCTTAGTTATATCTTTGGAATCACTCAGAATACATGAGACGTTGAACTTTTCCAGAGATGTATCTCCAGAATTTCTCAATGTATTTTTTTCTTTTTGTTTTATAATTTTTCTTATTGTGTAAACTCATTTTACGGTTAATTATATTATACCTTGCAGGCATAATGGCTGACAGAACCGACCGATTGAGGCATGGACAGGTTGCCCAACACACATCCATTAGACAAGAGCGGAGCCAGCTGGGTCTGGATGTCGTAGGTACCTCTAGTTAGGGAGAGGCGCCGACTGTTGGTGTACAGTCTACTCTTGAGACTCAATCCACTCCTGGAGTTCAACTTTCACCTCAGACTACTCCATCTACATCTCAGGCTACTCTAGCTACATCTCAAGCCACTCCATCTACATCTCAACTCACTTCACCTTCTTCATCATCTTCTCGCAGACCACGTGATGCACCAGCTGGCGTGTCATTTTCCCATTCTCCCACAGGCGGCGGGATGCACCTGTGTCACCTCCAGTTGATCTGGTGCCACCTCATGCTGACTTGGTTGCACCTGTTGATCGGGATGCACCAGTGTCACTTCTAGAGGGTGATGTTATGGAAATTCGCAGGAGTGTGATCCCCAGAAGTTTTTGAACCATGAACGAAAGATTTTAGCATTGGATCAACCTGATGCGGAGTGATTTCAATCGGTTCTGACCGCTTCTGGGTTGGGTGACTTATGCTTGACCGATAACACTTTGGTCAACCACGAGATACTTAATGTATTCGTGGAGTGATGGCACTATGAGACCTCTTCCTTTCATCTCCCGCATGGTGAGATGTCAATTACATTGGATGATGTCTCGAATTTGTTGCATCTACTGATCAGTGGGAGATTCCTCCATCATGGTAAGATTACCAAAGACGAGGTGGTCGATATGATGGTGGAACATCTGGGAGATGATCCAGGGAAGGCACTGAAGGAGGTGGATAGGACCAGGGTGCTCATGTTAGGTTTTGGTTCTTGAAGGAGAGATTTGATCAGACGCTCGTTGTTGCAGCACATGTTGATGGTGATGCCTAGGAGGTGGCCATACACATGAGTCATGCTTTGAGGTGTTATTTTCTATTTTTAGTTGACACTGTGCTTTTTGTGGACACGAGTGCCACCTACACTTGCATACCTTCGGTACTTCTTGGATCTCACACATACTGGTGGTGGCTTGCCTTGTATATCTATATTCGAAGCTGAGAGATGGATGTCGGTGGATGACGAAGCAGACCGCATGCAGCATGACCCTACTGGTGGTAATAATTTTTTTATCCTTGAATGTTTTTTTTTTATCTTTTTCATTTCATATTTGGGATAATTATTGATTCCTATATATTTTATTTTCAGTTCAGGCTTGGATCCTCCAACACTTTCGCGCATCGCTGGTTGGTCATGTAGGGATGAGTACACTAAGGAGATGCCTCGTGCTTGTGCTTTTATCCCGCTGAGAG